TTCGGTCATTTACGTAATTGTTCAGTATGCAGCATTCAATTTCCAGAAGAAAATAAATAGAAGAAAATAAATAATGCAGAAAATAAAAAAACTATACAAAAAAATTAATCAAAAATAAATAGAAGAAAATAAATAATGCAGAAAAGAAAAAACTATATAAAAAACTACTCAAAAATAAATAGAAGAAAATAAGTAATGCAGAAAAAAAAACTATATAAAAAACTTGTTGGCGCGCTGCCCAGTGAGCCTGCCGGACCTAGGGTGTGCAAATGCAGGCCCAGAAGGGCCAGCAGACTCACAGGGCAGCGCGCCCTAATTAATTAGGCCCAGAAGCCTGCTATATAGAGGAGTTCGAAGAGGTAGCCGCGGCTGTGTTTATAAACCAGTGCGGCTGCCCTTCGTCGGGCGAGGTGAGACTAAACTTTGGGGTGGCAGCGCGAGGCCTTTAGTACCGGTTGGTGGCTCCAACCGGTACTAAAGACTACCCTTTAGTACCGGTTGGAGCCACCAACCGGTACTAAAGGCCTGCTCTTCCCGCCTCTTTGCCTGGCCAAAGTTGGCATTTAGTACCGGTTGGTGGCTCCAACCGGTAGTAAAGGCATCTCCTATATATACAACACTTGCGAAATTCAGTTAGATCTCCACTTCTTTCGTCTCAACCTCTCGCGCGCGCCCGTCGTTCGTCGTCGTCGTCGTCCCCGCCGCCGCCCGTCGTCGTCGCCGTCTCACGCCGCCGCCCCGAATGCCGCGCGCCGCCGTCCGTCATCGTTCGCGGTACGTCTCTCGCGCTCTCTCCGCCGCCGTCGACCGTCGTCGTTGCACACGTACGCCGCCGCCCCGTACGCCCCCGCCCGTACGTATGCCGCCCCTGCCCCATACGCCGGCGCCCTCGCTCGTACGTATGGTGCGGCGGCGTACGAGGGCACACCCACATATACACACACATATATACGTACACGTACATGCACACATACACACACACACATACGTACACACATATATACGTACACACACACACACATTTTTTTTTACTTATTTTCTGTTTTTTAGAAAAATTAATTAGATGATCGAATGTTAGATGAATTAGCTATAGATAGAAAATTGTCGAACTAGAGATTTGAACTAGTTGAATAATTAATATAACTAGTTTATTTTTAGTAAAAAAATTGTCGAACTAGTTTATTTAGGTATATGAGATTTGAACTAGTTGAATAATTAATATAACTAGTTTATTTTTTGTAAGAAAATTGTCGAACTAGTATATTTAGGTATATATGAGATTTGAACTAGTTCAATAATTAATATAACTAGTTTATTTTTAGTAAGAAAATTTAGGTATCTGAGATTTGATGATCTAAGTAAAATATTATTTGTTAATGTGTTTTTCTGTTTATTTAATTTTTTATATATAATTTGAGTTTATACAAATGTTAGATTAATGTCGAATGTTGGATGAATTAGATAGAAAAGTAATATCAATTGTTAGAGATGAATATAGTTAGATATATTAATGCCAAATGTTAAATGAATATATATTTGGCTAGATATAGGTGTTTAATATTTCACCTATATGAACATAGGAAATGTCATCTGACGACGAAAAAGATTTCATTATGTGCGAACACTGTGAAGACCAGCGCGGCCTATGCGACAAAAATTTCCTTGTTGATGGTAGGCGCTTCAGCATCAAGCTGGATGAGACATTCGAAGTTACAGTAAGTCACTTTGTCAATTATTATTTGAATGCAAAACTTATGCTTCATTTGCTTCAACTTATAATTTTAAATTTTCACTATTCTACTAGCGCATCCCCTGCCATGCAAGAATTTTTGTCTCGGATAAGATAGATTTTAGTGCTATAGATGATATGGAGGTAAAGAGAGTTTACTTGAAGACGGGGCATGGGTATACTTTCAACGTCAAATTATATAATGGAGACACATACACCCATTTTGAATGCAAAACTTGGCAAGCACTATGCAAGGCTTATGCATTTGAGCCTGATATGGTTATCACCTTTGATATTCGTCCGGAAGATGATATTGAAGGTAATATAGACATCTGGGTCGATGTGCAAACGCCTCCAGTTCTACCATTTGGTGAGTTTTTCTCAACCATGCATGCATATGTGTTTATGTCTTTGATACAGTTTATTCAAAAATAGTTGACAACTAATTTGTATTGTCAGCTTATTTCGGTTCAAGCAAACATGTCCGGTGCTTGGTAGACAGGACCTACTATTGCCCCGGGGCTCAACTAAACTGCGAGGAGATAAGTCATTATGTTTCATGGCTTGAGGATCTTAATACTGTCAGGACAAATTTTTTTCCTGAACTTAAAAATGTTAGTACTCAAAACGTGCGACCAATGGTGATCGTATTGAACTACGGTCATATCTATAATCAAAAGATGGTAAGATTTTAAATATTTGTCCTTAATTAGTGCATCTTTTGCATACATTATTTTTGAAGCTAAACTTTCATTGCTTAGTATATTAATTACTATATGATGTTCTTCAACAGGGATTTCCGATGACAGTTGTGCCTTAGTGGATCGAGACAAAAGGTCGCATGTCAATGGTTAGCTTACAACCAAAATTTCCTACATTGCACATGAGTGCATTCAGGATTTCTGAAAGCGAAGAATGCTTAATAGTGAAAGATTGGAGCAAAATTGTTAACGATCACAGAGAAGTACTAGGGGGCAGCAAGGAGAAGCGCAACCCAAGATTAGGAGACATATTCATCTGCATGCTCCAGTATGATGAATCAGGAGAGCTATACATGTTCTATGCTATTCTACCTGAGAGGGAGCAGCAGGATCAGTAGCTACTAGTTCATGCTCTTAATTAGTACTTGTCTCATGTCCGTGTCCTGAACTTCGATGTTGGTGATGATTATGTTGAACTTGATAATATCTTTGCTTCTGTTACAAAGTGAATGTTTCCTCTTTAAGCTAGCCAGCGTTGATGATGATTAGATAGCTAGCGGTAATGACTATGATGATTAAATAGTGGTAATTAGACGACTATGATAATTTTTAGCTAGCTAGAGTTTATTTATTTATTAATATGCGATGATGATGATGATGATGACGACTACAACTCATTATAACGTAAAACAATCCTAAATTAAATTGATAACACAAATTTAATTGAAAAATACAAAATAAAACAAAAACCCACAACCATTTAGTACCGGTTGGTGTTACCAACCGGTACTAAAGGGCTCCCGGCCCCCGGAGCTGGCTCGTGCCACGTGGTTTCCCTTTAGCACCGGTTCGTGCTGAACCGGTACTAAAGGGGGGGGGGGGCTTTAGTGCCAGTTCCTAAACCGGTACTAAAGGGCCTTACGAACCGGTGCTATTGCCCGGTTCTGCACTAGTGAATGCTGATAGAAACTGTTGGATTTATCTTGTTTACACTATTGGAGTACTAGAAATACAAATTAAATGGCGTTCAATTTTTGAGTAACATGTTGTTGAATGCAAATGAGTTATTAACTTATTATTGTGAACTATATACATGCATATGCTAGAGGTAACGTCACCCTTCAATGTAAGAGGTGATTTTAACCATATCCATTTTATCCTCTCTCCAAAAAACACATAGATGGAACCATTCCATTCCATAATATTCCTTCAAGCAAACAAACTCTAGAACTGTTCCATCATTTATATCAATTCATACCAAACATAGGGATGGACCATTCCATTTTGTCCCCCAACCAAACACACCCGTAGAGAATATGGTTGGGGATTTGCTTGCGACTTATTAATCAGTTTAATTGTTTCATTTCTATCTTTTCTAAATTATTTCATTTTAATTTACAAGAAGTGCAATAAGTTACTCAATTGGTTTTTGTAGAGAAATACTTGTTTTCTGACTACCAGGGTTGTTGTTTCCCTTTTCCTTTCCATATTATATGTTGCCCCACTCTCTGTAGCACCTGGTTATTGCAGTTATCGAAACTATATTGTAATCTTTAGCCTGTGATCACAAGTATTATGTTAGTACAACTACGACATGAGGCTATTAACGTAGCTCATCCGGTGTTAAGTGTGCCAGAATGAACTGGCTATGTTACAGCTGGGAAATGATTATTCGTCCAGCACTATATTGCATGGAGGGCTCCTGCATGTGAGTCTTGGGCCGTTAGCCCGTTACCATTTGCATCCAGAACCAAATTCTGTTTGTTGCCTTCCTAACATTTTCAAGCCCAAATGGTGTTTATTTCAAGGTCTTGAAGTCAACACCGTAATATTGTCGCATCTGCTTCTCTTTGTAAGATGAACAGACAAGTATTTGTATTGTATAAGATCAAGCATTTTAGTTGCTAGAGGATACCCCGTGTGTTGATGCGCGAGTTGCTTGCAATATATTTCAATGAGATTGGTGAGATGAACATGAATATTTTGATTAAAAATATAAGAACTAAAAGTAAAGATACATATGATTATTGTATAATTATAAAATAGTTATTGAATATAAGTACTTAAGTAGCATAGTGTAATTAAAACATTTAAGAATTTTTAAATGCATGGTTGCATGTGGAAGTGGGCCTTTTTCCATGCGTAGTTGCAAGTTGAGGTGCCATAGTGGCATGTAGAGGTGGATATGTTAGTGGGGATCAACGACTTTGTTATACTAGATCTGGTCAGCTTGTATATCGTTTCCTGGCAAAATATTCTTGAGTCAATGATCTTGTGATAGAATGATGACAATTAATGGATGGTCTATTGTACTTATTTGTGTGTGCTTTGTTATGCAGACAAATGTATGAATTATAAAAGCCATTTGCAAGCGTGGACTCAAAGGAATAATCAGAACTTGCCAGCTTATTATACTGAGTCGAAACATGACCATCATCGACTTGAGTTCAGAAGCACCGTTAAGGTGGGTGGCGAGCGGTTTCAATCAGCTCGCAATCATAGCCGCCGGAAGGATGCAGAGCAGGATGCTGCCAGAGTGGCCTATGAAATATTGGTGACAAAGACAATAAATGATGATGATCATACAGACGTGCTTGGGCTGTCATGTTTAAATTTGTTTTGTGAATTGTGCTATATCACATCCTAATTCATGTCTCCTCATCATTCTCCTTTTTTAGTCTGTCATACAATAGACGGCGCCACACAATTTGGTGTGTTTATCACTTTTCCCTCTTTTGCCTACTTGTGATATATTTTCTAGTCATAGGTATAAATGCTATTGCCACAAGAATCCGTGATTTCAGGGTATTGGAAGTGATAACATTTATCACTGCAGAATTCAGAGTTTTGCTGATCACTGCAAATGCATTCTTCTGGTTCATCTATACCATGTACTGTACTCTTGTAAGATAATAGCTCTTTTTGTCCTCTTCTAATTTTCTGGGTTTTGTAACTCATGTTTGTGTTATACATAACTGCTATTGATATGTCCTAAGAACAGATAATGTCCTTTGTGTTCTGTATGTTTCAGATGTTATTGAATGATGAATCAGCTAATCTTACCATTTTATTATTACATGTGGATGTGCGTAGTAGCATCCTTTCATGTTAGCATTTTAATAATCATGCCTGAAATGAAGGAATTGATTTCAGTGTAACATAGTGTTCTCTTCTATTCTATTCAGGGCGTGGTGTTCTGCAAATCAATTCTCCATGAATTTGCTGTTAAGACAAAAGCTGATCAGCCCACTTACTCCACAGATCATCTAGAAGGGGTATCACCCATGACCCTGTTTGTTTCATCAGTGTTGTTTTCTGGGAAAACTTATACTGGTGAAGCTGCAGTAAGTAAGAAGGACGCAGAGCAGAAGGCTGCTCATGTTGCAGTCAAATCTATTTTAGGTAACTTATATTTCATTGTTCAGGATTAGGAAGAAAGCTCCAAAGCCTTTTTGTACTTATTGTATTTAGAATTAGTGGCGGGCTCTTAGGAGTAGAACTAATTATTCACTATGTTGTTGCAGCTACAAAGAATAATTGTATGCAACAAATTGTCAGATCGAAGAAACAGCTTATCATTGCCATCACATCTTCTGGGTTCAACAAAGAAAGAGGAGTTGTAAGCCAGGAAAAATGCAATGCTCCAACAAATGCAATTACTACTATCGCTCCTGAAGATGCTGGTCTAACTGCGGATCAAGGAGCGACCATCTTTCATGAAGATGATGGATCGCAAAAGCGCAAGAAACACAGAAAGGTTTGACGAAAAGACTCGCCCAACCATCGTAACATGAGGTATTTTTTTTCTTTCAGTTTATACTATGTATAAAATGACATTGATTTTATCGCGGACACCTATAGGAGTATTAGGTGAGTTGAGAGTTTAGGCCCCATTGGCGAAATACCCATTTTTAAGATCTGGTTCATGTAATCTCAAGAAATTAAGTATCTATGCACATAGCTATGACAAAATTATAACAATAGCTTCCAGATTGCAAGCCCATTGCTGCAACAGTCCTCATCAACACCACCCACTATCACAAATGGATCACATTGTATTGAGGTTCAAAGAGGTAGAAAATGGATATTTTTATGTTTTAATAGTAACGTCTCAATGCTTTGAAAAACATCATATCTTGTGTTTTATTTTTGCATCAGTGTCTTTTACTCCCTCTGTAAAGAAATATAAGATCGTTTAGATCAGTATCTTTTATATATGGGAATATTTGTTTGCTCAAATTTAATGGACAGGATTTTCAGTTTGTTGTATGTCTTGATCATCCACATAACTGTCAAGATGTATGAAATGAAATTAACTAATATTTTGCTTGGTTGGTGCTGTCAAACTTCTGCTTTAAGAGTTACAGCAACTAAATAAAGTGTCTAATTAGCCGTCGTCATGTTACCCTTTAGGGCGTGGATGAGGCATGCTTATCCAGGAATGCACGAACAAGAACCATTTAATATTTATGGAACTTCCTATAGTCATATAACTATTGCAAATCTGCAAGGTCCCATCTGCTTTAAACATATTTGGAACATTGCAATTCATCTTAAAGGCTTGCCGTCTTGATCAAGATTACTAGCTGGGATACTATTGTATATGCCAGTAAGTGTGCTAATTAGTTAGGGAAATATTTTGTTTACTTCATTCATTTTAAGTGCGCAATTACCTTGTCCAAGAACAGCTGAAATATTATCTAACTGTACTCGGGCCCTTTGCCACAAAATCTGGTACAATTGGATCGAGTAATTCATGGTTTTTCTAGCAATCTTGCTATCCCATATTTTGGCAGGTGTGCTCTTCGAGAGTGTTACACTGAACTGAGCTTCTTAATTTATCGGCAGGTTGATGTAAGGTTTCGTCGTCTATGGTTGTGGGAGAGAAGGGACTGCTGGTTATGTGGCGCTGTGTATTACATGTTTTTGGATCATCGCTAGGATGCTTGTTGGAATGACGTTGACTATGGCATCCACGCTCCGTATGTTTCCTTGATTAGCTTATCTTGGTGTCAGGAACTCAGGTTTCTATCGAAGTGGCTTCGCTGTGTCGGGAACTCTGGATCTCTGTGATGTAACTTGTGGTTCGTTGTACCGTTTCAAACCCGTGTTTGTGTCAGATCTCTTGAGGACTTGTTTGGTTCAAGCAATATTACCCATCATCGCCGTAAACAAGTCACGTCACCGGACCAGCGATGACCTCGGTCTTCTCTGTAAAGTCGCATAGGCTGTCATGCCCCGGAGTAGTGGGTCGAGGGATTTGGGGATGAACTGGAGCTGGGGTTTAGATCTAGATAAGGAAAACAATATGAAATGGGGAATGAAAAGTGGTGAGGCCGGTGAAAGAGGCAATGACGAAGCATCTGAAGGTGCCTCCCCTATGAGCCCAAGCGTACTCATCCATCCGCAAGATCCAACCATCAGCTTGAAGCGAGATGGTAGAAGAGGTGAGAGAAATTCGAGAGTGAGGGAGAGAGTAAGCTCATGTTGTAGATCGGGTGTGGGAGTTAGGCGGCAGCGCCAACGAAGGAGAGGCGACCACTATTTCCTGTCCCTTTCTTCCTTCTAATGTACGGACCTGCGGTTTGGCTGCTTCTCATTCGTTTGGATCAACTGGTCGCTCGTTGTCCGCCTGTGCCGGACCGGCGCGCCCACCCGGCTGACGCATTTTCTGTCTGCATACCACATTGACCTAAAAAGGCCATTGACCAGAGTTCATGCCAGCACCGACAGTTCATACTGATGGCCATGGTAGTGGCCGACATACATGCCCGTCTTTTAAAAAATAACACACAGTTAATGTTGGCACACTTGCCAGTGGCCGGCACAGTTGTCAGCACACAAAAAAGGATGGTAGTTGAACGATGTCATACATTTCAACTGTGGTCATGCCGGCACACTTGTTGGCATACAAAAAAGATGGCGGTATCTGGTATAGATGCATCATCAAGCTTGAGCATCTCCCTTTCCATCTTCTCGAACCAAGGCCTCCTTCCCAGGGACACCGTGCTCAACTCCACCGTCATGGTATCCACCTCCTTCATCATGCAATCGAGCGCCATTTCTTTTGCTTTGGCCTTGGCATTGGTCGCCTCTATCTCGAGCTTCTCGCTTGGACGTCGGCCTCCATCTCTAGCTTCTTCGTTTGCATTTCCGCCGTCATCTCTAGTTTTGTCGCTTGCATTTCGGCCTCCATCTCGAGCTTTTTCTATTGTATCTCCATGTAGGCCTTCATTTGCTCCTCTTTATCTTGTCGACGCTTCTCCTCTCTTCTTTCCTTTTGGGTCATCATGCCTTGCAAAGTTTCTTGCGAGGCAAATATCGCCGCATCATGCTTCGCCTCCTTGGAATTGGTCTTTCCCCGGGGCTGTTTCTCTCGCTCACCATGGTCCTCGACGGCCTGCGGCCCTCCATTCTTATTGAGGGAGGCATATTGCTCATTGAACTTTTCATCATCTTTTATGATCATCCAATAATGGGTGATGGTGAATGGCAATGTCTTTGATGCCGAGGCCAGTCACGGGACGACCATAGATGTTCTCAAGGGTAGCACAAAACTTGTTGCACTCTTGTTGGATGAGCCCTCACCTCTTCGAGATGGACACCCAACCACGCTTGCTCTCAAACTTGTATGACGGAACTTCTTGCATTCATGGTGTTGGTGATGAACTCTCAACCAAAAGATTAACCCTTTTTGCTCGATGCCGATCTAGGGACCTTATCCGATATCTCTCCAACATTCACAAATGAGTTTGTCCTCATCCTTTGTGTATGCCTTCGTCCGAATGCTTTGGCGCTTCTTCCTTTGCGCATTGGCTTGGTGTGTGACCTCATCAACAAACAAAGGCTCCCCCTCCATGTCCGCTTCCTCTTCTTATTCTTGGCCATAGTCGTCCGGGAACTCGTGGCCTTGCGGGAATGTGTCGTCCTTGCCCTCTTGGCCTTGCAGGAACGTGCCACCCATGCCATCTCGGCCTTGCATGAAGGTGTCGGCCATGCCATCATGGCCTTGCGCGAAGGTATCGGCCATGCCCTCCTGCTTTGTCGTGAAGGTGCCATGATTGTCTTGGCTTTGGGTTTCATAGGGATTGAAGGCCGCGCCACGCATGTCGCCCTCGAAAATGATGTTCTCCATGATGAAATGATTGACCGTGTCATTAGCTATCGATGGCGACATTGATCCGAACATGCCGGTTGTGGGCGTTGGAACATTTGCTGGCGGGGATCTCACGCGGCCGTTTCTTTTAGCCCACGGTGGACAACCCACCGGCCAGAGGTGTGGTGTTGAGGTCAATGGCCATGGGCGCTGCCGCGCCCGGCGCGAGCACACTCACCTCTGGCGAGTAGTCCGCGGGAGAGGTGGAGAAGTGGGAGGCTTGCCGTTGGGAATGGAAGTCGGGCATCTGCAGCGTGGTGGACGTGTGCAGTGACTCTGCCCATGGCGGACAGACTATCGACGAGCCCATGCTAGGTGCAGTCATGGCGGTACCGATGAGCCCATGCTGACCAGGGCCATTGTCGAACCCTATAGTATGAGGACGGTCTGCTGTGTGGCTGCAGTGACGAGGGCCTTGTTGTCCGCGATGGTGGCCTCCTGTTGGGCGGCGGCGAGGGCGGCGGCGTTTGTGGCTTCCAGCTTGCCGGCCTGCACCTTCCTCCGTCCAGACCTCTTGGCCAACTGAATGGCCCTCTGCATGTCCGTCAGCTCCTCCTTTTTGGGCTGTGGCGTCTTGTTGCAGACAGTGTAGGGCTTGGCAATGGTGGTTGGCCATCCAAGGGAGGATTTGGATGGTGGATAAACTTGCCAAGTGGAGTTGGCACAATTGTGGCCTTTGTCGCCTATGCAAAAGAGAGCCGAAAGCCTCCTCACACTTGCTCTACAAGTACTGCTACACGATGAGACCTTGGGGCATGCTTAGAGATTGGCTTCAACTTGTGCATCTTGACACCATTGTTTGGGCTTTGGAAGGATCCACGAAGGTGGATAAAGATGTGTGAATGCAATGTCCCTAATAGAAGTGCAATGGCAACTATCACCATACTCATGTGTCGGACCATTTGGAATGAGAGGAATGTGAGGACTTCCAACACAAAACCATCCCTACGACAATTCTTTTGAATGAGGTAAGAAGACAAGCAAAACTTTGGGTCATCACAGGTGCCAAGCATGGGTCAAATCATGCCGGGAGAGTAGTGGCCTTCTAGTATTCATTGCTGACGCTTGTGTCATAACCTCAAACTCTCTCATTCTTTTTAATTAATGGATGAGGCAAAGCTTTTGCCGCCCGTTTAAAAAAACACCTCCTTTGTGTTTTCCCTTTTGCCATTTCCCGGCATTACTTGGAAGGCTGGGAGACAGGGAGAGGCATAGGATAGTTGGCACATGTTGGTACCATGGATGTTCATGGACTTCACAACATCATCACAGTTGCAGTAAATTGATGGACGGATCAAAGGAAATCAACCAGCAAACAAACTGCATATAAGATTCCATTTTCTGATCTATTTCCAGGATCAGCCACAACTTCCAAATGACATGAACAGCTTCGGCGCACACATGCACACACTAAATCATGAATTCATAGACTCAACCTGCATTTTTTGAGAACTCGGTTTTTTGTTCGATGTGCCACTTCGAACGCTAGCTACTACTCCCTTCATCAGAAAATATTTGTTGGAGTAATACATGTGTCTAGACATATTTTAGTTCTAGATACACTCATTTTGACCCATTTCTACGACAAGTAATTCCGGACGGAGTGA